CTAATCGAACCTTAGTCATGGAAGAACGAAAGAATGTAATAGATATGCCATTAGAAGATCTAGTCTATGAACCTAAACTTGAAGATTTTGATGACTTGGATGATAGTGAGGACACTTCTTTAGGTGGACTCCAGACTCTTCCCGAGACTTTAGGTACTATACCCCTTGTTTCTGACAACTCTTGGTCACATGTTATATGTCATACCCTTGCACAACTCAAAGAGTTTGATGATTTCACTGGCCACCCTTGGAGAATCCAGTCGCCTGTGGTTAGCATTAAATCAACATTCCCCACTACTGACCAACTTCAAACTGATGGTCAAAATGAAGTCGTTAACCAAAGTCCTGGCAATTTATTCAAGTCTCTAGTCCAGAAAAATCTTAGAAATTGGGACTTGATTCCCCCAACTGTTCAAATTGCGTACAACAATTCTGTAAATCTTTCTCTAGGTTTGAATCCATTTGAAGCTGTTCATAGTTATAAGTCTAGGCGGCCGTTAGACCTTATTTCCATGTCCTTACATGCTAGTGTGTCGATATCAGTTGAAGCATTTGTGCATCTTCATGACTTGCATATTAAGATCAATAAACAACTTCACGCAAGTAATGCATTATATAAACTTCAAACTGATTTGCATAAACAATATTTTCAATTTCATATTGGGGATTATGTTATATTGCAAGCCGATAGTGCTGGTCCTTTTGAAGTTTTAAAGCATGTTGGTCCATACGCACATGTCATTAATTTTTCATCACATTTTGGTCACCACTCTACTTTACGTATTGAAGACTTAGTTACTTACAAAGGCCTTTTTAATTTCCTTGATGATCCTTTTCTACTTCCTTATATGGATCCCCAACCTAAATATATTACCATTTTCACTCCAATAACACATGTCACAGCACACAAAGATGTAATTGATGCTATTTTAGATAAACAGATTGTGTTGACCAATAAGGAAGATTTTGGAGATGAGTGGCATGAATTTTTACTATTGGGAGTTCAGTACCGATATGTGATTATAAAGAAAGATCGTCCTCCTTGGTTGGATCATATCCTTGAGGATAAGCTACAACTATCCTTGTTATCATTTGTGGAGTTTCGGTATTTGGTCATCGAGAAAGATCGTCCCCCGTGGCATGACTTGGAGCCTTTCGCATCAGATTCAGTGCAACATTCTGCTTTATCTACTCGACGGGGTCGAGTTTTTTCTCCCACCCCGGGAGAGTTGATGCGGACATCCATTTATTATTTATTTTCTATTTGAACCATTAGTTATATTTTATTTGGACTATTGTTTATATTTTCGTTATTGGACTTGTTTAGTGAGTTTGGCCCAAGCCCTTCTCTTTAGGGTTTGTGTTCTGCTATTTATTTCTGTTTTTGTTTCTCATTTGAGACAGTTGATGATGAATGAATAATTATTTTGGTGGCTTATGGCGCATCCCTCCCCTTCTTCTATTGAATTCTTCTTCTATCCTCTCCTTTAATTCCCCATTCTTTCTGAATCTTTCTTCTGTTTCTATTAATCATCCTACTGGTGCTGCATCACATACATGAAATTTCAGTATCAGTCTTCTACTATCATTCTTTAATGGCTAAATTGTGGGTGCCTATTGGCATCTTTAACGTGTGTTTATGGGGTGATGATTGTAAATCAAATTCAATCATTTGATTGTCAAGCCTTTACCTTATGTGTGTATTTTCATTTCAGATAATCGTACCACACGGAGAACCAGTTACTGTTGAAACATTTATGGCATGGAGGGATAGATTTGAAGCGGAGTTAGCACTTGAAAGAGCAAAGTAAATTTCATGAGTAACAGATGACTTCTTTTATTAGCTTTTCAATTGTCAACTTCGTCAAACACTAAAAGAGAGCAAAATCTTTAAATTTCAACCAGAACATTTACTTATTCAGGAGTTTGACAAAAACAATTAAGACCATACAATGTTAACCCTCATTCTCAGCGAAGAAGATAATTTTGTATTTTTTATTTTATCAAAGTGAGGAATCAATGTGTTTCTGCAGGCACTGGATCATGTTGGGAGAACCAGATTACTATCTTAATTTGTGGGGAATGGAAAAAGATGCAGCCTGTTTAGTTTTGCTTGGTTTCTTATAATCTTATTAATTGCTGTTTATGCTTAAACATCCAGGCTAATGCCTGATTCGGCACTTGCTGCACCAAAGGAGAAGAAGCTTTCTGGCAGGCAGTGGTTTGAAAGTGGAAGAGCTGCATCGGTACTTTTTTCTTCCTTGTTATTCTTTTATCATGGAATTTTTAAGTTATATATGCATGACTTGATGTGAATACTGGGATTTGCGTTCTGTAGCAATAAGTACTTGACAAAGCTCCCAGATAGTTCAAAATTTCATGGTGTTTTACTCTTGTGAACTTGGACAAAGTTTTTCAATTGCTCCGTCTTGCTGAATTCAATCTAGTCAAAATAATGCTCTATGAGAAAATTTTATCATTTGAGCTTAAGAAGCATGGAGTTTTGCTTGATAGAAGAGTATAAGAATCGACTTAGTACGAACCATATTATAACTCTGTCACATTCATTCGTGCCAGAGATAATGACACCCAAATCCAGTGAGGGAGAAACAAATTGAAATATTTATACTATAATTTAGGGGAAGAGTGTTTTTGTGAAGATAAAGGCAAAGAAATATTTGAGGACAAACTGTTTAGCTTCTTGAGTTTTCTGTTCTGGTCTTTTGAAGCTGTTGATGACGATTGATGTATATAATATGAAATTAGAGTATTAATTGTATTTTGATTATACTGTATCTAAATGGAAATGAATATGGACTGTCTTGAAAATTAATTTCACTGAATTATCCGTTTCTTTTTTGAACGAAAAGGTGAAAATTAATTAAAGGTGCATATGGACTATTGCGGAAAATTACTGAATTGCCCTTTTCTTTTTTTTGCACAGAAAAGTGTGGCACCAGCTGCTGAAAGTTCTGACGAAGATGATGAAGATATTGATTTCGATGATGACGACTTTGAAGGTGATTTTGATCCTAGTCATGTTTTTGCTTTTCTCTCCTTTTTAAGTCAACAATCCGAAGATAGTAAGAGCATGATTTTCTTGGGGGGTTGCAGATGATGAAGACGACATGCTTGAGCACTATCTAGCTGAAAAATCCGACTCTTCTGCTCATTCTTCGAGGAGAGGAAACTAATTCTAGAGGTCCAGCCCTACTGCCCCTTACAAATCCATCCGCGGTTCTATCTTGTTTGACTATTGGGACCTTATTGATATATATACCGGGGAGGACGTAGATCTCACATTAGGCCTGGATCAAGTAAAAGTTTTCAACCAAGAGATGAGCTCCATTTTGATTGAAGAAGAATTTGATATACATGCAAAATCGTATCTTGTGATATCTTGAACTTACGTCAAAGACATGACATTAGTAAACCTTATGAACCTTGTTGAACTCTTTGCGTGACTTGTATTGGTTTGGTTTGGGGTTGCATATGTGCATCGCGATTGTTCTTCCCATTGCAATCCACGATTTGGCCGTTTTCAATAGGAGAAGAATATAGGGTTCTTTCTTAGTTGCTCTGTTATATGTGAGTGATCTGATTGCAGGGCTGCTACCAAGAACCTTACCAAGAACAGATCTGTCTTTATTCTTGGAAAATGCTATGTGAACACTGAGCTTTTTAGTCCACGGTATTGCTCGGTTTTGAACTGAGACCAACGGTTTTTAGTCCATAATCCTGGGAAAGCGCTATCATTTCGATTTGGTAAAAGGTTATTTGGGGTTATTTTCATTTTCTGACACCAAGTTTACTTCAATGGCACACCCAAATCACCACACCAATTTGGAGGATTATAATTGGGAGGAAATGCATCAAATTTACACTATAAAAATTCCATGGATCAACTTTCTTACGTTACTAGTTTGGTTGGTAAGTATTACATAGTAAGAAAAAAATAATTTCTTTTAGATTTAAATTAATTAACTTTATATGACTACATTGTTAGGCTCGATAGTTTGATTTTTTGTTTGACATCGACCATCTCTTAACTGTTCAGGCTTGCCGCCACCTCATAGACATAAAGGGAAATACATGAAAATAGCCTATAGAAAATGGCCATTTTTCCAAAGTGACCTTTGGTCAATTTACATATGAAATACCCTTCATTTAGATATTACATAACAAGTCACTATAATATAGAAATTTCCTAATTTAGTCCTTAAAATTAAATATTACTTGGATTTTGATAGTTCTTTTTTAATTTTGATTAATTTTATTTTTTTATATGATTTTTGTTCGCTCTAAGTAGCCCCTAATTGGTATCAAAGCCATAGAGATCATGAGGAAACCCATAAAGAATAGATTACCTAAAAAAATAAAAATCTTGAGATTTAGGTTAACACTTAGATTTTATATAAATTTAATAAATAATAGATTAATTATTATAAAGTTAAAAGAATATTTAGATTATACATCTTTAAAGTAATAATTAATTATAATATACAAATATTAATATTTACATCTTGATAAAAGCATAAAGATCATGGGAATTAAAGTAAGAAAAATAGATAATTATTGACATTTAAAAGAAGAAAAATGAAGTTATATATTTTTAAAATCTATTCATAATCAATTAAAAATAATAGCACTAACAATAATTAAAGAATTACCTAGATAAATAAAAGAACAAATATTAGAAAATTTAATAATAGAAACAATAAAGGATATATATATGAAAAAATTATTAATATATATGAAGATGAATAAATTAATTTATATTACAAAGAGAAGTATGAGTGCAAGTGATAATACAAATTTAAAATTAAATGAATTACTTATAAAAATAAAAAAAATACAAGAAGAAATACGAAATATAATGTTAATACTAGAATGAATAAGAGTATCAAATAATAGACAATTAACAAAATTAGAATGTGAAAAATTAAGACTTGAGAGCAAATATTTTAGTATGGTAAAAGAAGAATTAATAGATTCAGATATAGCCAACAGAAAATTTGGAAAAATAATAGATAAAAAAAAAGATAAAAGATGTAAATTAACTTATATGTTAGAAAGATAATTTTAATATTGACATAAGTGAATATATGGAAGAATTAAAGTTATTAATAAAAATGTTAATAAATGATATACAAGATTTAAGAAATGAAGTAAAAAAAACTAGAAACGATATAAATATATTAAAAATTAAAAGAAAATAATAAAAATAAAGAAAAGAAAATAGATAAAAAAAATTAATAGAAAAAGAAATGACT